AAGAAAGAAAGAAAGAAAGAAAGAAAGAAAGAAAGAAAGAAAGAAAGAAAGAAAGAGAGAGAAAGAGAGGAAGAAGAGAGAAAGAAAGAGGAAAGGAAGAAAAGCAGGAAGAAAAGGAGAAAGAAAGGAAAGAGAAAGGAGGAAAAGGAGAGAAAGGAAAGGAAAGAGAAGAGGAAAGAAAGGGAAGGAAACATGGAGGTATTGGTAGTAACCATTCTAAGCCAGGGGTGGTGGCACACACTGGTAATCCCAAGCACTCTGGGAGGCAGAGGCAGGCAGATCTCTTGTGAGTTCAAGGCCAGCCTGGTTTACAAAGCGAGTCCAGGACAGCCAAGGATACATAGAGAAACTCTATCTCAAAAACAACAACAACAACAACAACAACAAAACATAAAAGAAAATAAAAAACATTGAGCATAGCAGAATTATTTTAAAAGGTTTTTAAAGAATAGATACTGGGGCCTGGAGAGATGGCTCAGAGGTGAAGAACACTGGCTGTACTTCCAAAGGTCCTGAGTTCAATTTCCAGCAACCACATGGTGGCCCACAACCATCTATAATGAGACTTGATCTGGTGCTCTCTTCTGTCCTGCAGGTGTACATGCAGGCAGAATACTGCATAAATAAAATATTAAAAAAAAAAAAAAAGAAGAAGAAGAAGACGCGCTGGGCAGTGAGCCCGGCCTTTTGCACACCTTTAATCCCAGAACTCAAGAGGCAGAGGCAGGCAGATCTCTGTGAATTCGAGGCCAGCCTGGTTTATAGATCGAGGTTCCAGGGCAGCCAGGGCTGTTATACTCAGAAACCCTATCTCGAAAAACAGAAACAAAACCCAACAAAACAAAACAATCCCCCCTTCCCCAGGAATGAAGAAGTCGCACAATGGTTAAGAGCAGTCAGTATAATATTTCCACTTCTATCTGCAAATACCTGCAAATCTCACTTTTGAAGATGAATCCATATATATATATATATATATATATGAATGTTGTGACTGTGTGTGTTTGATTTTTGAGACAGGGCGTCACTGTGTCGTTCTGGCTGGCTTGAAAGTTGCAATGTAGAACAAGTTGGCTTCCATTTGCAGTAGTTCAGTTGCCTCCATCTCCTAAGCGCTGGGCTGTGGTGTTAGCCACCATGTCCTGGAATCATGTCTCATTCAGTTCCTAGTTCCTGAATCTAATACAGTCAGCCTTAATGCATCCCGCAGACACAAGAAAAACTTTATTGTAATCTTCTCTGTGGGTTTTACATATAAACAGTTTCATGTTTGTTTATATGTTATATACATGTTTGTTACATACCTTTACATGTTACATAGCCAGATTTGCTATGTAACTTAGGATAACCTTGAACTCCCGATCTTCCGGAGTCCTGAATGCTCAGATGCCAGGCATGTGCCATCCCCAGTTTATGCCAGCGACAGAACGCAGAGCTTTGTGCCGCGTGAGGCTACCAACTGAGTCGCGTTGTCAGCAAAGAGCAGTTTCATTAACCGTTCAATCCGCAAGGGCCAAGTTCATCCTCAGCAGCATTTAGAATGTGCTGCGCACATACAGTAACAAAGAAAGCTCTGGCAACAAGGCTCCCCAACCGTGCGGGTCGTGGAAGGACCGGGGTGGGACTCGAGCCCTCAAAGGCAAATACATTCATGTATTATTGCGCAGTGTCGAGGACAGCTGCTCCAGCTGGCGAATGGGAAGGGGAGAACTGGAAGGCAACGGAGCCTGGCCTTGGGGACCAACTCCCAGGGCTATATTCCTTCCAGCGCTGTCGAGAGCCCGGCTCGATGTGAGGCTGAAACTCTGAGAAACGGACTTGAGAGAAGCCGTGAAAGCGCTCACTGCAGGTGCATCTTTCCTGCCAGACTCCACACCCCGCCTGCTAGGAGCGCTAGGAGCGCTGCTCAAAAGCCTCACGCTCGCGGCGTCTCTTGCGCCACCGCGCGGTCGTCTGAGGTATCGAGGCTTCTGTACTCCAAAGCCCCTAATCAGAAGAAAGCAAGAGGACCAAGCAGGTGCTTCAACGGGGGTGGGGTGGGGTGGGGAGGGGCTCTCCTTGCCTGGAGCTCTGTTTCAGCAGCCCGAGTTCCCTTATTCTTTTAGGTACTCTGACTCAGCTAAAACTCTGCCCTTGGTTTCATGGAGAAAAGAACTCAGGAAGAGGAGCCAATATGAAAGCAGAACTGAGGTCCATTAAAGGCTATTTAAAATTGATTTTCAGCACAGGGAGAAAGAAGGCGGGGAGGGGAAGAAAGGGTAAGGCTTGGAGTGTGGCCTTCTCCGAGAGAGTCCCACTTCACTGTCCTTAAAACGGCCCTGTTGGCGGGTTTTGAAGCTGTTGTCTTGGAAGGGTTGCTAGGACTTTGGACAGAAGATTAAGGACGTGTACAGGGCAGGATTACAGCAGAGTAAAACTGTTCGTGCTCCCGGTAGCCGAGTGTTCCTGTAAGCAAAGACAAGATCCGCCCGCCTCTGCCTCCCGAGTGCTGGGATTAAAGCAAACAAGCAAAAACAAAAAACCAACCAACCAACCAAACACGTAAGAGAGTTTAATTTTGGAGGCTGGAGATAAGGCCAAAAAGCACTACTAGCACTTGCTGCTTCCTGCAGAGCACCAAGCTGGCTCTCAGCTGTCACTCCAGGGCTAGGAGATCCAAGGTTCTGGTCTGGCCCGTTCGGCCACTTACGATGCCACACCTGTAATCCCAGCACTCTGGGAGGCAGAGGCGGGTGGCTGTCTGTGAGTTCGAGGCCAGCCTGGTCTACAAAGCGAGTCCAGGCCAGCCAAAGCTACACAGAGAAACCCTGTCTCAAAAAACAAAAACAAAATTTTTTTTAAATTTTATGCGCATTGGTGTTTGAGTGCATGTATGTCTATGTGGGGGTGTCTGATTCCCTGGAACAGGAGTTACAGACAGTGGGTGCTGCGAATTGAACCAGGGGCCTCTGGAAGAGCAGTCGGTGCTCTTAACTTCTGAGCCATCTCTCCAGCCCCTGTCCCCCTTTTTAAAGATTTATTTTTCTGCCTGCAGGCCAGAAGGTTCCAGATCTCACTATAGATGGTTGTGAGCCCCCATGTGGTTACTAGAAATTGAGCTCAGGGCCTTTGGAAGAGCAGCCACTGCTCTTAACCTCTGAGCCATCTCTCCAGCCCCCTTTCTGGGCTCTTACCTCCATGTGGTATGTATAAACTCATGCAGGCAAACACACACATAAAATAAATAAATCTTCTTTAAAAGACTAATTTTTATTATTTTCAAATATGGTTCATGTGCACGAAGTGGCTTAAGAAGTCAGAAGAGGCCGTCTCTGACATGAACTCAGTGGCCGGCTCTTTGATCACCTCCCCCTGAGGGGGAGCAGCCTTACCAGGCCACAGAGGAAGACAATGCAGCCACTCCTGATGAGACCTGGTAGACTAGGGTCAGAGGAAAGGAGAGGAGGACCCCCCCTCTCAGTGGACTGGGGGAGGGACATGGGAGAAGAGGGAGGGAGGGAGGGTGGGATTGGGAAGGGCAGGGGGAGGGGCTACAGCTGGGATACAAAGTGAATAAACTGTAATTAACAAACATTAAATTAAATTAAAGAAAAAGAAGCCAGAAGAGGGCGTTCTACCAAGCAAGCTACAACCTCAGTGCACATTCCTATATTGTAACAGGACACTGTAAAAAGCTGAACTAAAGAACAAAATAAAGGGCTTGGCTGTGGTGGCACATGCTTTTAATCCCACACTTGGGAGGCAAAGGCAGGTGGATCTCTGTTAGTTTGAGGCCAGCCTGGTCTACAGCGTGAGCTCCAAGATAGCCAGGGATACCCAGAGGAACCATGTCTTGAAAAACAAAACAAACAAACAAAACACAAACTAAAGTTAGATGATTAAATGTGTAAACCATCCACATCTCGTCTGTCTGCTAACCTTAGGCAGCTGCCTTGATTTAGCGCCTTTAGAAATATCTATACAGAAAACCCTTATGAAATGGACTTTTATTTTTCTAGTTCACTTACATTTTGGATAACTCGAATTAATGATATTAATACTAGACTTAAATGGCAAAAAAAAAAAAATATATATATATGTAGTTAAGGACAGTACTTTGGCACATTACTGTGCTCTCATTGTGTAGTGTAGTAAGGTCTGAGGGCATGAAACCTTTTCTGGCACAGCAATCACTCTCTGTGGAAAGAGGCAGGGTCTCTGAGGAAGCTGATGTATAAGGTATCAAAATTACTTCATTGATAAACTTCTAGTAGCACTCCCCAAAAGGATGATGTGGAAGGAAAGACACGACAACCACACCTTATTTCAAAATCTGTATTTAATGCCATTCCGTGAAAATTAAGCAGAATCACACTTCCAAAGCATTGCCAGCTTTATCTTTGAAGGTGCGTTTTCATTTGGGCTTCACTCGCTGTCTGCTGCTTGAGGAGTTCCTGTGGGTACTGTTCACACAGAACACTCAGGCTGGAGGCTTCGCATTAACTGGGAAATGAGATCCCAATAAAACAAGGTACCTTGCATACATTAGAAGTTCTAAAAACACTAGGAAATTTCAAAAACTTAATACCAGCCCCTGAAATATATTGTCAACATAAAATTGAGGCATACTGCACTTTAGAATAGCCACAAGAAATATCTCAACAAGAGTTAACACACATCTACTCAAAGGGAATCTCGGTTAAAATCTTCACTAATTAAATTACATTTTAAATTAGGGCCTATTAAATTCTGGCAATTATTGAACAATTTGCAGCATTGAGTTATAGTTAAATAATTCGGAACTATGTCTATTGCTGACCCCAGGCTCACCCTTTACAGAACTTTCATTGTTTTCAACAGAAGATTGGACAGTGTTCAATGATGAGCATTTCCCCTTTCTAGCCCACGTCACGCTACAATACAATGCTCATGCTCCTGCCACAGCTGCTTTCTTAGCTGCAGAACTTCAGCCCATAGGAGGAGGGGACTGGGAATGCAAGCTAAGCACTTCTGTTTCTGATTCCCAGGTCATTTGCTCAGTTACTCTGTGTTCAAGTGCTGGACATCGCTGCAGGCTGAGCCACTGTGCAGGCTGCTATGGAGGTAAAGGAAAGGCAAACGGAACTTGTCACTCACTTTGAATGAGGCTGAGGCTGCTCCAACTTGCTCCCACCGCCTCCCCCCTGTGGTCTACAGGGGTGGGGAATAGGGATGCGACCTGCTCACACACTTCCCAGCAGTGTGAGCTAGCATGGCTAGAACTCAGAACTCAGGGCTACTTGTTCCTGTGAGATCAAGGCACACTTGCTGAGCAGTGTGTGCTTGTGAAACTCAGACACAAAGTCTTTCAGAATACGGAGGACATGACAGGATCTGCAAACGGACTCCTCAAAATCACCAACATACAGGCCTATCTAGAGACTGGGACATGACAGTGAGTCACACAGGACAGGCGGCAGAGGATGAAGAGTTCATTGTGAGGAAGTTAATTACACTGCTAATGTTTTCTGGCTTGTTTGAAGAGACAAATTAGCATAGGTAAATCAGAAGTTAAGATGACAAACTAAATCTGTTTCCATTCATTCGACAAAAGCACAGGGGCTTGCAGCTCAGCCTCCATGGAAACGAGGGATGAGAGAAGGAAGCAGAGACTTCTGTTCCGGATTCTGCAAACAGAGGCAAAGCCAGTGATGATGCTGAGTTTTAGCCGAGGCAATGTTGTATCCTGACTGGAAGCCACAGAATTCTGTCCTGTTGCCATCAGAGTCTGTGTCCTGACCAGCACCTGCAGCTCACCACAGCAGTCAAGGCCCCGGTCCCTCTCTGCTGCTTTAGAATGGCGGCACCTTGCTTATGAGCAATACCTTCTAGGGTTTCACCATTGACAGCTAAGGTCTGGTCCCCTCGTTTTAATCAGCCGTCCTCTGCAAGTGCTCCCTTTGAACAAAGAACAGTCCAAATATTAAATATTAAAACCTTATGTCTATGTCCTTATCAAAAGACTTAATCTAAAGACTTCAATTGATTTTTAAAATTTATTTACCTCTATTTTATGTGCACTGGTGTTTTGCCTGCCATGTATGTCTATGGGAAGGTGTTGCATCTTGAAGTTACAGACAGTTGTGAGCTGCCATGTGTATGCTGAGATTTGAACCTGAGTCCTCTGGAAGAGCAGTTGGTGTCCTTAACCACTGAGCCATCTCTCTAGCCCCAAAAAGAAGAATACTAGTCTCTCTCTCTTTCCTTTCACCTTTCCTTCTTTCCTTTCCTTCCCTTTTCCCTTCCCTTTTTTTCCCTTCTTCCCTTCTTCCCTTCCCTTCCCTTCCTTTCCCTTCCCTTCCTCCCTTCCTTCCTGAGACATGGTTTCTCTGTGTACTGTGTAGCCCTTGCTGTCCTGGACTGGCTTTGTAGACAAAGCTGGCCTCGAACTGACAGAGGTCTGCCTACCTCTGCCTCCTTGAGTGCTGGGATTAAAAGTGTGCACCACCACACCTGGCTTAACTAATTTTTTATAGACAAATTTTCATTGATTTAAAAAAATTTTTTTAGATTATTTATACAACATTCTGCCAGCATGTGTGCCTGCAGATCTCGTTATAGATGGTTATGAGAGACTATGTGGTTGCTAGGAATTGAACTCAGGACCTCTGGAAGAGCAGGCAGTGTTCTTAACCTCTGAGCCTAATCTCCAGGACCGCCCCTCCCCCGATTTATTTTGAGGAAGGGTTTCACTACACAGCCCTAGCTGATCTGGCACTTGATATATAAACCAGGATGGCCTTGAATCTATAAGAACTTTGCTAACTTTGTCTCCTAAGGGTTGAGATTGTTGGCATGCACCATTATGCTTGGCTTTTAAGCAATTTTTCTTTTCTTTCCTTAAACTATCTTTTTCCTAGCTAACATAGAGCTTGGTATGAAGACTAGGGTGGCCTTGAACTCATAGAGATTTGCCTGACTTTGCTTCCTAAGAGCTAGGATTAACAGCCTGTACCACCGTGCCTGGGTTAAGCATTATTTTACATTAAGAAAAATAGAGTATCCTAATGTTGTTTGAAAAATAACAGCTTAACAGTAAAGTACGAATCCTCTAAATAACACACTAGCAGAGATGTCCAAATGTCACAGTTCTCATAGAAGCAGAACATTGGTCAATACTCAGTATTAAGTGGGACTGGGTGTCATGTCCTATTTGTGGAAATGTACTATCTAGGCAGAACTAAATCTGGTGTTAGTCTTATGGTCAATGTCATCCTTTTTTTAAGATTTATTATAAATGCAACATTCTATCTGCATGTACATCTGCTTGCCAGAAGAGGGCACCAGATCTCACTAAAGATGGTTGAGCCACCATGTGGTTGCTGGACTCAGAACCTCTGGAAGAGGAGACAGTGCTCTTAACCTCTGAGCCATCTCTCCAGACCTGGTCAATGCCATCCTTATATATAAGACTGCTATTGCATCATTAAGCTCTCAGCACTGTCACCTGTGAAAACTGTCACTTAAATGAGTGAGTTATTATTGATATCTTATTGAGTTATTATTGATATCTTTGAGATACTATACAGTATTCAGCAGCTTCATTCCTTCCTGACCAACCTTGAGGTTTCTAAGTGAATTCTATTATGTCATCATGGTGGCCATTAAAATGGCACAGAACAGCTGGGTGGGGGTGTCACATCCCCTTAATCCCAGGACGCAGAAGGCAGAGGAAGGCGGATCTCTGAGTGTGAGGCCAGCCTGGTCTATAGAGTACATTCCAGGAAAAATCCTGTTTGGGAGGGGGGCATAGAACAAATGAAAGACAGTTTTCACTTTAAAGTGAGACTCTAAAACTGTGGGTATTACTGGAAATGCTTGGGATTGAAGTGGGTAGGAAATTTCAGGCAGGAGGAACATGCCTGTAATCCTGGCACTCTGGAGGGGGAAGGGCATGGGTCTCTGTGTTTGAGGCCAGCCAAGGCTGGACAATAAAACCCTGTTCCAACAAAAACCAAAACAACAACAACAACAACAAAATATATAAGTAAAAAATAAAAAAAGAAAAGAAGGAAGGAGGCAGAAAGAAAGAAAGAAAGGAAGGAAGGAAGGAAGGAAGGAAGGAAGGAAGGAAGAAGGAAGGAAAGAAGAAAGGAAAACTCTAGAAAATGATTGGCAGGAAGTTTTTTCCATCTCTTTGGATAACTCTGGAGGCCTATGAAAGCCAGTCCTTGGAGAAAGTGCCACAGCACTGAATCCTGACAGAGCCAAGAGGCTCTCAAGGCTCTTGAGGCCTATGTTAGCCTGTGGCACAGAGGCCTGAGGTGCTTGGGCAGTGATCCAGAAATTCCTTTGAGAATTATATAATAAAAATACTTATGTCCAGGTCTAACTAGGGAAAGAGAGTATAAATGTCTTCATTTATTCACTCATTCATTTTTTTGAGACAAGTTTCTCACATAGCCCCGGCTGGTCTTCATCTCACTAACACAGTCATGGGTGAGTCTGAACAGACACTCCTATTTTTCCCGCCCAAGTGCTGATGTGCAGCATCCTGCAGCTTGCTGTGAAAACCTCCTTTTACCAACTGAACTCGATTCTCGGTGTCAGCAGCGTGGTGCTTACGAATGGAGAGAACGGGGCACCGAATGAATCAAGAGCTTCCACATAAGCTGTGCGCACTTGCTCCATGTCCCAGCTTGGCCCCCTTACCTCCCAGGCACGGGAATACAGCCATTATTGCAGCTGAGCATACCGACTCAGGAAACACAAAACGCTGCCCAAATCTGAAAAAATCTGCTGTACTTTTCTTGTGGCATGATATTCGAAGTAGAAAGTTCCACACCACAAATCTGTTCATGACAAAATTACTAGAAATATTGTATGAAATTATCTTCTGTTTACATTGTACATATATATGTAATATAAAGCATATACGAAGCTTGAGTGAATTTCCTTCCATATATGTAAATGTCCTATAATCTGAATAAAACATCCCAAATCCAAAATAGTGCTGTTTAAAGCACTTCAGACAAGGCATGTTTAATCTGAACCCTTATGCTGTTCAAACTCATGTCTCAGACTACTCAGGGCTTTCAGAAATTGTCCCTAAATATTCTGAGTTGGCTTATATCATCATCAACTTCCTTGTGTTTACTTCCTTTTCTTCTTTCTTCCAACAGGGTCTCACCCTGTAACTCTGCTGGCCTGGAACGCACTATGCAGACACCCTGGCCCTAGAGCCACAGAGCTCGCCTGTCTGCCTTCTGAGCATGCCTATTTCTTATTGGCTGCTGAGAGGACTAAGACCTCAGGCAGCGTTGACTCTAAAGTTCCTTTTTAAGACTTCTTTTTAAGAGCTACGTGCCTGTATGTCATAGCGTGCTAGTGCTGGAGGGAAGCCAGAGTCAGGCGCTCCCCTGCAGCTGCAGCTCCAGGCAGTTCTGAGCTGCCTGACACGGGGGTGTGGGTGCTGGGAGCCAAACTCTGCAGTTTCAGCATGCACCCTGAACTCTTGAGCCATCTTTCCAGCTCATGATTTCAAGTTTTGCTCACCAAATGGACATCCTCCATTCCCACATGCTGACAGCACCTGTGACAGGTCGCATTTCTGCAGTGGTGTCACAGCGGGCCACATTAAACACTCTTTCAGTCAAGGAAAAGAGCAGTTTGGATGTGCAAAGCCACACCCCGTGTGTCACGGCTCCAGAAGCCTGAGAAGGAGAGATTCTGAGGGGAGTGTCATATGTGAGGGCAGCGTGGGGTTCCTGTCCCTAGAGCCCCGCACACTTAAACTCCTGCAGGAGAAACAATGTCAGACTCATTTTTAAAAAGCTTCAGGGGGCTGGAGAGATGGCTCAGTGGTTAAGAGCACTGTCTGCTCTTTCAAAGGACCCGGGTTCAATTCCCAGCACCCACATGGCAGCTTACAACTGTCTGTAATGCCCATCCCAAGAGACCTGATACCTTCACGCTAATGTACACAAAATAAAGATAAGTTATAAAAAAAATTAAAAAGCTTCAAGGGGTTGTGGTGGTGGTGGTATCTGTCCGCTTTAGGTTTATTGATTCTCTATCTAATTTTAAAGTTCAATACCCTGGCCTAATGTAAAGAGCAAAAAGAGAAAGGTTTGGCAGTCTTCAACACTACAGGGGCCAACAATTATGGTTGCTGCTCTTGCTTGCACTGGAAAATGCTTTCAGAACATTTGTGTGTGTGTGTGTGTGTGTGTGTGTGTGTGTGTGTGTGTGTGTGTTGTCAGAGCACAACTTTGGGAGTCAGTCCTTTCCTTCTACCATATTGGTTCTGGGGATCAAAGGCAAGTCCTCAGGCTTGGAGGCAAGTGCCTTTAGCAACTGAGCCCCAGGAATATTCTCCCATCCAGACTGATGGCACTACGTGGGATATGGGCCAGGGCTTATAATTTTTTTCTTCTTTTAGATTCAGAAACTGTTATTTTTAGGTAGGTTTCAATTAAAAAAGCAAATAAACAAAAAGCCCATTTCAGCCAGGCAGTGATGATGTATGTCTTTAATCCAGCACTCTGGAGATAGAGAGGCAGTAGATCTGTGAGTCTGCCAGCCTGGTCCAGGGCAGCCAAGGCTATATAGAGAAACCCTGTATTGAAAAGCAAAACAAAACAGTACATTCCTTAAAACAAAACATTAAACAACAAAAGAATATAAACCATGCCAAGTGTGGTGACTCGTGTCTACAGTCCAGGTACTTGGTGGGGGTAGGGGTGGGGGTGAGGGATGGGTGGGAGGGTGTTCAAGGTCATCCTTGCCAACATAGCTCAGGGCCAGCCGGGTCGAAGTGAGCTCCTATCTCAGAAGTGAAACAGCGTCCTCCACTGAAAACAAGAAAACAGTTTACGCGGAGGGCATGCAGTCACCTAGTTTACATGCTCTTTACTCGAGGGGCTCTACAGGAAGCCTTTCCACGGGCCTTTCCGCAG